TTTTTGATATCTTGAATAGTTTTCGAGATATAACAAAAGAAAAAAAAATTAATTTACATATAAGAGATGGTTTCATCCCTTTAAACCGTTTTTTAGTATCAACTGATAATTTCTAAATTCATCTATTTATGTGACCTCAAAGTGTACCAAGTTTCATTAAAATCAGAATTTGACACTTCGCGAGGTTCCCTTATAAGCTCACGGACTTATCCGTCGGAAATATTTATTACTATAGTTCAAGTTTCGTGAACTAGAGGCGCTAATGGATTTATTCCACCCTATTCTCAGCTCTCAGGTTTCTCTCTGATACTAGTTTCATGACATGAAATTTCAATTTTATTGTATCATATATTAAGATATAAAATAATATATATAGTTTCTATTTGTATTTAATTTTTAAAAATTTAAAAATTAAAATAAGATGAAAAAAAACTAAAAAAGAATGCGCAACTTCTATATGAAAAAAAATTCATATTGGATTGTCAAAATCAAATATATTGAACATACTAAATTATTGGATGGATAATCGTTTTGGAAACACTGTGCTATTGGCACATCTTTTTTAATTTTTTTTACATAACAAAATATATACGGTATTCTACCATCTTATTTCCCTGTGCATTATTAATGAAACGTAATTTATAACAATTATAATAATAAACGAAAAACATTTAATATAATTCATATTTATATAGAAATATTGTGATTTTTTTTAATTACCCTTCGATATATGTATTTCTTTTATAAAACATAAAGATATACTTAAAATGTATTAAAAAGGAAAGAAACCTTATAGACCTAACCAAAATTATAACTTAACTTATGAGCGTTGATATTAATAATTATAATAATAATAAATTCTACATCTACATATTTGGGAACCCTAAACATAATCAGACATAAATTAAAATAATGATATATGTCAGATTATTGCCTTAGTTATATAATCCAAACGTTGGATCGGAACGTAAATAAGTATCAATTATTGCGTAAAAATAATAACCACTGTATAAATATTTTCCATTGTTGTGTCATGTGTATATCGATAACTAAATCATCTAATAAACATAGGTATTGTATGGCGAGGAAAAAAAATTAAATATAATCGTTTCACATGCACCTTTCTTTTACGCTTTTTGACACTTGGATTTATCTTAACGGGATTGTAAAGGTATCAGAGTATAATGCCAATGAGTTTTTTTACCCAATTTTACACATTTACATTTTTGTTAACGCCATCGATTCAGGCAATTCAACAAATAATGCAATTCGGCTTCTCTTGTACATTCCCATTGGCCTTCTCGATCTCTTTCAGTAATGTGTGAAAAATATCTGCAACAGACTACGGAAAGCACGTTTGAAAGTTTCGTAGTTATACTATAATTCGAGAATGCGAAAGTGTCTGCAGAAAGTACCTACCTCATTTTGTTTCGCACTGGTTTCTAAAAATGCTGCGTTCCAGGAGTTTGCTAAACGTTTTCCTTGATCTGTCGTGATCATACGATCAACGTACAGATCCGTTTTGTTGCCCACTAATACGATCGGAACGCTGTGAAAAAAAAAGATAATATTCAGCAATCGTAAATGGCGCGAATAAAAATCGTACGAATATCGAGCATTCGAGAACGCAGGGACTTACTGGAGCTTTCCAGTGATGTCGAGTAATTTGTCATAAATAATTTGTACAATCTCAAAACTCTTCGCACTGGTTATGCTATACACCAGAACGTAGCCGTGGATGTCCATCGAATACTGAGTAGGAAATATACTATATTCATCCTGACCGGCCGTATCTACTAACTTGAGTTCGTAATCTTGACTATTTACTCGTGTACTTTTTGTGAACGCTGTAACACATGCGAAAAACACACTGTAGCACACTGTCAAACCACAAAACACAATGCACAATCTACATTTAACAAAATTGAAGATCCTTAGAATAAGATAATTGAGGCCGAGGGGTCAACCACTATGGGAATCAGTGTACATTTCGTTAGGAATATATTGCTAGTATTGTGGCAATACAATACTAGCAATATGTTTTCAATACATAGCAATACCTCAAGCAATACATTAGCAATACTTGGCAATATTGTGTAATAGGTGGCAATACATGAGGTAATAGATGACAATATGACTGAAAATACGAAAGCAATGCAATAGCAATACTAGCAATAAAGTGTGACGTATTGGCAATCACTGTACATTTTTGTAGTAGTGGTTGACCCCTCGATTGTGAGGCTAAATAAGTAGATGGACGAAAGTAATTCTTACTATTTTCTATTGTAGGATCATACGAGTCTACAAATTGTCCCTCGACGAACTGTATACTAAGGGATGATTTACCTGTTGAAAATTAAATGTGTGCCATTAAAGCATTTATATATTCAAGTAAATATACGCAATATATTTAACAGTTGTATATGGAACAAGTATAAATCACTATATAAATTTTAGATTGACTGATAATGAAACAGATCTAAATCGCTAGTGCTCTTGCCTCTCGTCGCAAAAGTTCCGAGTTGCATATATTCGTGAAAGAAAGAGATATCTACACTCCACGCAGATTATAACTGCAATGTTGCAGCAACATTGTAACATTCCGGTTACATTGCAGAAGTATTACCAAAGTTGCTGCAATATTGTAGTTATAATCTGTGCTCGCTGTGCATGTCTTACCTACGGATCTATAGCCCATAATAGCTATTTTCCTCTGCTTGGGCGGCATGTTGTAGCATTTACAAACTGAAAAGCAGCAAGGATATTCAGTGGAAGCTGATGCATAATCCAGCTAAAACCTGCGAACAGGGGAAAGACTTTGTAACCGGGGGCCACATCCTCCTCGCGTTCATTAGCATCGCGAAATTGTACGGCGATAACGTGAATGAGCTATCTTTAACGGAGCGGAGCTATCTCACATTCGGAGGGCCACAAAAGACGACGCGATGTTTCTCCCTCGGGAGTAACGGGGCGGGGAAAAGTCTACAAGATGAAAACAACGGCTGAGGAAGACATTGCGCAAATCTTGCAAGTCCGGACGCGTCGTTTACGTCACCGATTGACATGTATTTACGTAACGATAATCGCGCCGCAGTAATTTTCAATCTATCACTCGCGCGGTCGCGAAGACGAGAACGTCCGCCGCTTGACATCCGCGAGACATTTTTCTTTCTTTCCAAGCGACATTTCTATTCCGCAGCTTCCGCCCCTCCACGAGGAAGTAAACAGTTTAACGAGGCTGGTACACACAATACCTATCTCCGTGCGAGTCTCTCCCCCGATCGACGACGGACGGACTGGCGGATCTCGAAAGAAATGCTAATGCGGCGCGATGAAAAGAATTTAAAAAAAAAAAAAAGAGAAAAAGATAGAGAAAAGAAGAAAAAAAAGGGTACACGCATGCACGGGTCGGAAGTGCGTCTTACATCGGTGCGTAACGCCCCTTGGAAGCGGTGACGTTTCCCCGTGGAGTCGCGCATAAACCGACGGCGCCTCGTCGCACTTGTCGTGTGCCGGAAGAAAAATAACGTTCCGAACTACGCACCGTTTGATGCACGTACTACGGACGCACGCGTACGTACGTACATACGGTAGTGTGTCGGTAGTGCGATGCACGAG